GCCGACCCAGCGACGCCCCTACTCCCAGGTTTAGGGCACACAGCATTCCCTGCGGGCCTGGGCCACAAGCTCTCAGTTCCCTTTTCTGAAAAAGACAAGGTCTTTGGAAAGAGGAAGAGGAGAGGCCAGCTCTGCGGGGCGTGCAAAAGTAGTGGAGCGGAGGGGGGCGGGGGGCTGCTTGAGGACAGACGCCACTCCTCTGCCGGGTACAGAGAAGAGCAGAGGGCAGAAGCTCACATGGCCGGAGGCTGGCAGCCTGAGTCAGAAAGAGGAAGCCCCTTGGGGACTCTGCGAGCAGGACAGCACAAAGGGGCAGAGGAACAGAGCAGGGAGGGAGGTGGGGATGCACACACAGTGAGGAAGCAGGGCACAGACCTGGGAGCATGAGGTCAGAGGCTGGCCAAGTACCGCTTGTCTTCTAGGTTCTCCGGGCTTAAAAGGTCCATAAGGAAGAGGGAGCCAACCCTGCCTGGCATCCATAGTTGGTATAAAATCCTCCTGGGGAGTCTCCCTCAGCTAGAGGATCCTTGGGGCCCGCTGCCCCTGGGGAAACATCAGACTGTGATCTCAGCCATCAGTCGCCTCCTCACCCTTGACTCACAGCCAGGGCCTGGACAGGTGGGAGGGCACAGGAGGGCATGTGTGCTGCCCCGGGAGCCTACATCCAGCCTGGACGCCCATGTTCAATGCTGGGTACAAATTCTGAGGCTGGGGCCCCTCCACAAACCGCAACAGTGATGAAAAGATGAAAAAAGCCTATCAGACGAAAGGGCCTGGCCCCAAGGATCCTCTAAATTTCCAAGTGCATCCCCAAGAAAAAAACCACACCAAGTGTTTGATACGATTTTTTTATTAACATATAATATATTTAATAAAAAATAATATCCACTCTGGCGCTCTCCTCCATTGCAAGGGGAAGAGTGGTGAGGAGGGGTTGGCACTGCCCACCCCCAGGCATCCGGGCAAGTCCTGCCTCCGGGGCTCCCCTCCACCCCTGCCTTCCAACAGGCTCTGACCTCCAGACAGACGGTTCAAAGTTACAAGTGCTTTAGGTCCTCCCTTGAGCTCCCCCAGGCCCACGCCTTGTGCAGAATTCAGGGGCCACCTGGACAAACCCTTTGCTTTTTCTCATTCCTGGGATCCCTCGTTCATGTTAGAAAGAGGATCTGGGGGCAGAGTGGAGTCTCTACTGGCCAGGGGGAAGGGAGGAAAGGAACAGTGATGGGGCAGGGCCGCGAACAGGGGTGCCGATGAGGCCCCTCCCCTCACTGCAGCCGGTCACTGCGGAATGAGTCCTCCACAGCAGGATCGGGCAGCAGGGCACAGGGATCGCTCAGCATGTGGAGCCCTTCCAGGCCCAGTGGCTCCATGCGCAGGTCCTCCTCCAGCCCGAGCCCCAGCCCCAGCCCAGCTGCCGACACCTCAAAGCCAGGAACTCCGGCCAGGGCCGCCGCAATCTCCTTAGAGAAACCTGGGGAGGACTCTCCTGTGGGGGCAGAAGAGATGGGTGAAGACCCATGCCCTGTAAACTCTTCGAGGACCCCTGGATCCCCTGCTGCAGCAGCGAAAGTATCACCCCCTCCTTCCACGCCCCATCACCACCCACACTGCTCACCTGGGAGAATGATGTTGGGCCCTGGAGCATGGCGGGAACAGTGGGTCACGTTCTGGTGGTTGAGGGCATGGGGGTCCTGGAGGCTACTCACTGGCCCCTCACCCCCTAAAAATCCAGGCCCTTCAGAAAAGCCAGGGGGATCCAGCGCCAGGCTGGTTGATGGGCTCTCCATGCTGAACTGCTCCAGCTACGGACACAGACAGAGCCTAAGGAAGTGCACTTCAGAAAAGGGTGTCCCGTTGGCTCCTGCCTGCCCTGCAAATACGTCCCCTCTGCCCAGCAAAGCACCCCCCCGCCACTCCAGGAACAGGAGCAGAGACAGGGAGAAGGCAGCAAGCAGAGCAGAGCAGCAAGCACGGGGCCCGGAGTAGGTGTGGGCACCGTACCTGCTGGGACAGAGCGTGTGCATGCCAGGAAGAGAACAAGTCAGAGCAGCGGGCATCAGAGAGCACGCTGTGTGGAGACAGCTAGGGGCGGGGGCAGGATTGGGGTCAAAGGCAGGAAGAGAGAAGCCTCAGGCTGGCAGTGCTCTGCTATCCGGGGGGAAGGAGCTCTCCCCCGCCACCCCAGATCTCCCCATTCAGAGTGCACCAGGGATACAACACAAGCCCCCCGACCCACGCCCGGCCCTCCCCTGCTCCTAGACATGGGTACTCACGTTGCTCAGGCCGAAGTCACTCATGGGCCGGTGGTAAGACTGCTGCCCGTGCCCACTGGAGCTGGGTGGGTACAGTGTCCCGTAGTGCGGTGGCCGGCCCGGGGGCTGCCCACCTGACAGCTGCATGGAACAGGCCTGAGAGGACAGCCCTGGCTGCTGTAGAGGCTTTGGGGTGGGCGGCTGGCTGGGCAGAACCAAACCTGGGGGGCTATATGGGTACGGAGGCAGCCGCTGGTCAGTGGACAGTTTGCTGGTATCCAGGGGGACACCCTGAAGAGAAGCAAGGAAAAAGGGAGCAGCTTAACCCTCGGTAGCGCCCCAGGGGGGAACTCTTAGTCAGGGTTTCCCACCCTGTGAAGCTGCAAGCGTCCTCAACACAGACGTGACAGTGTTCCACGGGGCGCCCCGGGGCCGGGGGCCGTCACTCAAGCGCGTATCAGAACGAAAGCGAGCGAGCGAGGCCGGCGTCGGGCCCGAGGAAACCGCGCCTGCACGGGGAGGCTGCCACACCCCCACAGGCCAAGGCCAGGGCCAGGGCCAGGGCCAGGGCCAGGGCCAGCACGGTGGGCTGCCGGAGGCAGGGAGAGCGGGAAGGAGGGAGGGAGCAGAGCCCTCGCTGGCCTGGCCTTAGTCTTTCCTCCAGGAACATGGAACACACATTCCAGGGAAGGGCAGTGGAGGAGAGGAAGAGGGCAGAGAGAAGGGGGGCGGGGCAGGGAGAGGCGCGCATTTCAGCACTGAGGAAGGAGCCCTCAGCTAGGTTCTCAGGCTGCTCCCAACTCTTCCTAACTTGCTGAGTAAGCTTGGAAAGCACTTTCCCTCTGGGTAGTATCCTCATCTGTAACACGAAGAGATGAGGCTCCATGTCTGAGAGCCCCTGACTCTATGAAATCCGTGGAAGGAGGACAGCGATGGGAGAGGGGATGGGACAGGATGAAGGCATGAAAGACAGACAGACGAGGAAAGAAGCATGGGGAGAAAAGGGGGAGAAAAAGCTACCATTTGTGGGGCATGCACCTGGGTGGGCACGGCCTAAGCACGTCCCGTACGCGGTTCCTGTGATCCTTACAACAGCACCCTTGTGTTACAGGTGAGGATGCGAGGCTCACAGCCAGCAGGGCACCTGTCCAAGGAGACCGCTAGGAAGAGGCGGGGCTGGGATGTGAACCGGGAAGCGGCTCCCCCAGGCTTTGTGCTCTTCAGGCAGGAGGGACAGAGGAATGAAAGGGGATGGCCGAGACAAGGAGCACAGAAGTGAGGAGGGGGTGTCTGGAGAAAGGAAGGTGGAAGGGAGTGTGTGGCAGGGAGAGAGAGGGGGAAGGGAGACAGACACGGACGAAGGCAGCCACGCGTACCTGAGTGATGGAGGACAAGGTGGGTGACATTGTTGGCGAAAACTGTTTGGGCAGCTGCTGTTGGGACCTTCTGGCGTCAGCTGGGCCCACGGGCAAACTCAGGGGGCTGAGGGGCACACGGCGGTGGCGGGGGGAGGTTCCGGGGGTAGAAGCTGGGTAAGGGGGGGCGCCCAGCACGGGAGATGAAGCGGAGGAGGAAGAAGTGGCAGAGGAGAGGGCCGGGGCACTGAGCGAGGGGTGGCCCAGGGAGGCGGTAGGCAGTGCGTGGCGGGCCAGGGAGGACGCAGGCAGGGAGGGGTGGCTGTGGGAGCCCTGGAGCGGGGGCTGGGGGCTGCTCAGGGAGGCCTGGAGGTTGGGGTTGCTCAGGGAGGACTGCAGGGATGGGTGGCTGAGAGGGGAGTGAAGTCCTGCACAGACAAAAAGCAGAGATGCCCACGTTACTGATGGGAGCTGGACCCCTTTCTGCCCAGGACGGGGAGCAGCGACCAGACTATGAAGGTGGCAACACAATGTCCTCCCTGCTCTGTCCCTGACAGTGAGGTTGGCACGGCCCACCTGGGGGCTGCCCTCCATCACCTTTCCAGGAAAAGCCCCATCTGCCGTGAGGGAATCCTGGGCAGGACTGGTGTGGGCAGTCACAGGAGGCTCCTGGGGGCCCGAGCCCCCCACCCCGTCACCCCTCCGGCCAGGACAGCCACTCACCTGGCGCATCATAGCCCGAGCCCGGGCCCAGGCCCAGGCCCCCGCTGATGCCGAGGTGGGTCATGGTGTGGGTCAAATTGGAGGTACTGTTGCCCCCACTCAGGCTGGGGTAGGCTGTCTCCTCAGGGTCCAGGGGAGTGGGCAGTGGCGGGGGAAAGTGCAGGTTGGTGAGGTCAGGTAGGGAGCCGCCTGTGTTCAAGGCAGGTGGGAGGACGGGCACACTGGCAGGCTGGTCAGGAGATGGGAAGATGCTGCGGGAGGAGAGGAAGAGAAGCGGAGATGGCGGCAGTGGTCGGGGTGGGGGACGGAGGCTGGCCTCCCACGTTTCCCCTCAGCCCCTCAGCCAACCTAATCGAGGCACCTACTTAATTCCAGGGACTTCACAGGACCGAGGTCGGGAGGAGGATGAGGACAGCTGAGGAGAGAAGGAAGACTGTGAGAAAGGAGGCCAGAGCTCAGCGAGGACCGAGGAAGACCTGCCCCACAGAAAGAAGGGGGGTAGTGGGCCACACCGACCTTCTTAGCATCCCATGGCTTCAGCAAATGCTTGTCATCTAGCAAGTTCTCCTCAACAGCAGGGACTTGAAAAAGAAAGACTGGTGATGAGAGGGCTGGAGAAGGAGCCGGTGGGGCAGGAGAGGAAGCAGAGGTGAGAGGGAGGCAGTCCCGCTCCCGGGCCCTGCACAAAGCCCCCAACACCAGGCCAGAAATCCGTGGGCATCAGTGGCCACAAACGGCGAGGAACACATACCTTTGGAGTCCACTTCACCATCCAGAAAACCTACAAAGGATGCGGGAGAGTTGGCTACAGTCCGGACTTCTCTACGGGCTTCAAACAAAAGCTCGTCAGGTCATTCCCCGCCCAGGGCCAGGCCATTTACCTCCACGGCGGCTGGGCAGGATGCTGGGAGGGGCAGGGCCTGGATAAGTGTCCTGGGGGCTGGGGTTCATCACACTGGTGTGAAGGGCAGAATCAGAACTTGTCCTGTGGGGGTGGGGGGAGCAGAGGTGAGCTCGTACCTGTGACGGTGTTCCTGGTCCCCATGCCCTGCTCAGCAGGGGACAACGCTAGCTGGGCTGGGACAGGGTGGGGCAAGGGAGCAGGGCCCGGAAACAGCAGATAAGAGATGTGGCGCAAAGAAGGCCAGGGCCATCACCTGTTCAGTGCAGATGGCAGTCGAAACAACTGTCCCTTCTCTGCAGGGAAATTGCCCCAGGGCATCGTCCTGGGGTGGAAACACAAGGTCAGGAGGAGGAAGGCTAGCAACAGACAGGAAAGCCAGCACGGGGCTAGAGAGCGCCGGCCGCTGAGGCGGAGATGGACAGGGCTGAGCACCCAGGGCCGTGCCTCCTTTCTGGTTCTTCTGCTCCCTGTGACCCGACCCCCCTCCCACGATCAAGCTAAGAGATCTGGAAACTCAACTTGTCTCTGCCGGGATAAGCTGAATGGGAATCCTGGAGCCCAGCGACTGTGCACGGAGGATGACACAGACCGCGGAGGGTCAGAAATCTGGGGCCAGAACGCTGCATCTGGCAGCCACTCCTGTGGAGAGCCAGCCATCCTCCCTCCCCGGACACGCACATCCCAGTCAGCCACCGTTACCATTGGTCCTGCACTGGCTGGACTGGGAGGCTCGGCTGCCAGTGTCAACAGGGCCAAGACTGGACTCTGACCCACCTACCGCACCTGCCCCCACCCCTCCCAGCCCTACATTATGGAGGAGGCACTGTTCAAAGCCCGGCCCCAACCCAAGCTCCCTCCAGAGACACGTCAGAGAGTGGACAGGAGACCCTGTCTGCCCTAGACACTGACCTCCGCCAGCCGGACTCCGGGGGAGGAGACAAGTAGGCAGGACTATAGGGAGAGCTGTCGACGTGAGCAGCACCAGCAGCAGTTAAGGAGAAAGGGAGGAGGGCACAGAGGGGACAGAGACCAGATAAGAGGAGAACACTGGAGGAGGTGGATGAATTGTTTCAAGAAGCAAGTACCTCCCTCCTCTTCCACGAGGGGCGACAGGGCCAAAGAATGGAAGAGAAAAAGAGAACCAAGCCCAGTAGAGTTGGAAAAACGAGGGCGAATAACCGGACAGGACGTGAGAAACAGGTCTATGAGAGTCTCTGAGACTGAAAGCTACCAACAGAAAGGGGAGGAGAAACGTGAAGAGGGAACCAAACGCCCTTCAGCAGGAGACATAGGTCTCCCCGTCGAAGGAGCCAGTGCCGACACAAGGGCCAGACGGTGGCTTTTCTGGGAGGCCGGGAACGGAGGGACTGACCGCACACAGAGTCCCTTCCTCCCACGAGTTCCCGAGGAACCCCGTCGCCCCCGGGCCCCCCACAGCCTCCGCGAAGGATATGTGGCGGGGGCAGCGGCGGAGTGGGGACACCATCCTTCGGGGGTCTCGCTGCACCCGCTCCACCAGCCCGTGGTGCCGCGTGCCCCGAGATGAATCCAGAGGCGAGTGGAGGGGGCTCTGCCAAAAGAGACAGGGAGGTCACCTGGGGAAGTCGCAAGTTGCCTGGGCCCCTATGACTGCAGTCCACTCACCTGGAACTCAGCCAGGCCACAGCCAATCTGGTTAACGTTGGGCAGAGAACCGCCATAATGGGAGCTCCTCGTGTAGGCCAGTCGCAACTTCTGGGCCTGTAACTGAGATGGGGAGGACAAACGGGAATGTCAGGGAAGGTTCTGACGACTGTTCCCGTTCCTCTGGCCACTCCTGCCATCTGTCTCCAGGGCACGCCCTACTGCTGGAGCACTTAAGAGCGCCGCCAGGAAAAGCAGTGGGGGGCAGGCCGGGTGCGAAGCTCGGCCCCAGCTCTTCCGCAGGCCACCTCAGCCACCCCACTAATGGCTGGTGTCGCCCTGCCACGCAGGGCCTGACACTCTGCTTGGGGCCTGTCCCAGTTGGCATCAGTCTAAACAGAGTCCCGGAGGGGTTGCCAGGAGCCCCCAAGCTAGTCACATGGGTCAGCTCCTGGGAAGGGTGCCTATTAGGCACCTCGCTTTCCCTTCCAGATGCGTCCAGGACTAATTGGAACATGAGGGGAAGGCCACAGGTGGATGCCACAGAGCCATTATCGCCAACCTCTCTCCTTCCCACTCTGGAGGGCCCAGGCTTCTGCCACTTGGCCTGCCTCAGGAAAGCTACACAGAGCCTGCACCACCCAAACTAGAACACCTAGGAAATGATGGCTCTCCCAGCTGGAAAAACAGTGCTGAAGCCAAGAAGCAGTCTTCTTCTACCTAGTTCTAAAGCCCCTGAATGGACAGGGAAGCCTTGAGAACGGTGCCGAGAGAGGGAGCGATAACCCAGTTCAGCCTGGCCTGACCCCCACTTTGGGGAGATGTATCTGGCATGGCAGTGAGACACCACAACCCTCAGTCTGTCTACAGATCTTAAGTCCTTCCGTGAGAGCTGAACACCTACTTCTGAGGCTCAACCACTGCAACCTGCCAAAAAATGGACGTAGGGCAGCTGATGAACTTCTGGGGGTCATGCACTGTTGTGCAGAGGCCAACATCAGAATTGACTTTCTGTTCCAAGTGATCAGCCCACTGAGTTTAGCAGACACTATGTAAACCTTTGGGCCGCTCAAGATTGCTATTAGTAGATGTGCTAACCCTAGCCCCTCAGTACTCTGGGCCCCCATGGCTGTAGCTGCCTCAAAAGAGCCCTCTCAGCTAAGCTAAGCCCCAGATCTCTTATCTCTAGCTTTAGACTCTTGGGTCCCTGAGCCCCGGCCTTGTACGCCCACTAGATATTTATGTGCAGCAGCGAGGCAACCTGCAGGGGCAAGGTGGGCAGAAGGGGTGTTTGGACAAACCAAGGCGCTAAAAAGACAGAGGCCTCAGCTCTGAGCTTCTCACAGCCTTTCTGTTTGTACACACAAACCCTAAAATCCCACCCTGCCTCTGCTGGAGTCACGGTCCAGACAGAGGACAGGGTGTCAGGCCGAGCCTCTCGCCCACCTCCTTGCCTCCGCACCCACCATGAGCAAAAGCTCCTAAAGGGGAGCAGTCAACAGATCATGATCCTCATGGCATTCAGAGGGAGTTGTGTGTGCACACACACACGATATGCTTCCCCCCTAACTCTCTCTGTTCTGACTCCCACAAACTAGGACACGTGGTCTCTAGAGACCCAAAGGGAAAAAAACACAAGGAAAACCAACAGGGGAAACACAAACAAGAGTACAACGAGAGTCGCCGTCACAGAGACAACCACAGTCAGATCAGAAACGTCTTTCTGTGCCACCATCTCCCCGTGAGTTCCTTCCAGCGCTCCGCCATGAGGGATCACTGCAATAGCCTCACCTGCTGTTTTGAGAATAACGTGTCCCTAAATTAGGACTGCACACCAGCTGGGCAGACTCCCACCCTCACTCCCTCTGATATTCAGCCCTGGAAAGCAAGAAAGGAAGGCCAGAGGGGCTTCAGAGGCAACCGTGCCAGGATGTCTTTTTTCTGGAACTGTTTAGGAATGAAGATCCCCAGCCACAGAAGACCCTCAGAGGAACCTTATAACGGACCCACAAAGCAGCCACCTTCCCAGAAAGCTCAGCAAACCTAACCTATAGCCAACTGGTGACCCGCTTTGGAGCTTCAAAGTCCTACCTCCCCTCCGCGGTGGCCAGGGCAAAACATCAGGCACAGTCTGCGAGCAATGGACCTTACCTTCATTCACGTCAGGAAACCACAAGAAATATTTGAAAAAGGAAGCAAAGGGAAGGGACGCAGGAGGGGACTTCCTGCCCCACTAGACTCAGCGCTGCGGCGCGCAAACCACTCAAGGGGCCCTTTCCCGAAGGTACTGAAGTGCCGAGAATGGCACAGCAGGGCAGAGGGACCAGACTGGAGGAGACACCGACTCGGAGCAGCCGGGCTGGGGCGAGCGGACCATGCCCCCCGCCACAGCCCAAGCTCGGGGATGCTGCAGGAGCGTCCCCAGGGGCTCAATCAGGGATGCACGGGATCGCCGCCGGCCGCCGCCCCCACGCGGCCCCCGCTGGCTCCCCAGCCCCCGGCTCCCCCGCGTCCCGGCCTCCCCCGC